AAAAAAAAAAAAAAAAAAAGAATTATAGCAGTGCTTGAGCATATACACAGTTCTATGAATGACCCCTTAGGACATTTCTGTGAAGTGACTCATAAGTTGTACTTTAGTTTATAAAATACATATTACCTTGTTTTAAACGGTTTTAATGGTGTTTTTTTAATTGATGTGAGTATTTATTAGGTTAGTAGAATTGTATCTGAGACCCATAGTTTTAGTCTTGTATGTTTCTGTGTTATTGTATCAGATTTAATCTACAGCAAATACAGAAGATTCATTTGTAATTTATGGTATGGGAAATACCCTAAGGTGTGGAGGCCACACTGTAAAATGACTCATTACTTAAAGGAGAATGAGAAAGGATGGAGAGTCTTAATGGTGTTTCTATGTTAGTACACATCTTTGTTTTTAATAGTACGACAGAAAATCTACAATATGTTTTTGGTTTTTAGGGTTGTTTTTTTTTTGGCGGAACCGGGGATTGAACTCAGGCCCTTGCACTTGCCAGGAAAGCGCTTATTCCACTGAGCCATCTCCTCAACCCTGAAAATCTACAATATGAATATACTACAGTTTAACTTTTCCCTCCCAGACTTTTTTAATATATTTGGTACAGGGTCTCACTACACAGCTCAGATTCATAGTGATCCTCCTGTTTTCAGCCCTCCCTAGCACTGGGATTACAGGCTTGTGCCACCACGACAGGAATCAGTGGCCAGCTCAGTGTGCCTGGGGGCAGGGCTGGCATGGCATATGGTGCTGGGGATTGAACTCTGGTCCCTGTACTTTTCTAAGCAGGTGCTTAGTCCACTGAGCTATCTCGCCAGCCCTTCTTCCCAGACTTTTAAGTGGCTTCCAATGAATATTCTATCTATGGCCTTTGTCATGTGTATCTTTTGCAGGGTCACAAGCTATACTTACTAAGAATCAAGAGACAATGCCAGCTGGTGAGATGGCTCAGTGGTGGCTGGTGAGATGGCTCAGGGGTCTAAAGCACCTACTTAGAACAAGCTAAGCTAAGCAAAACACAAGGACCGCGGTACAATCCCCCAGCACCACATGCCAGCCAGCCCCGCCACCTGGTGGGCTGAGCTGGCCACACAAAACAAACAAACAAACAAACAAATAAACAAATAAATAAATAAGAGACAATGCCAAGGGCTAGGGAGATGGCTCAGTAGAATAAGCACTTCCCTGGCAAGTGCAAGGGCCTAAATTCAATCTCCAGTTCCACAAAAAAAAAAAAAAAAAAAAGAGAGAGAGAGAGAGAGAGACAATGCCAAATTGGCTCCAGAACCTGCAAGTGCTTGCTTCAGCAGCATATATATTAAATACAGAGTATTATGGATCCAGTGTACAGATCAGCAGCAGAAAGGAAGACCTGCTTTCACTCAAAGCCTGTACCTTGCTTTAATTTAGATTTCCCTAAATTATGCACAGTCTGGTATAATCTCATGTTTACAGGCCATTTGTATTTTTCCTTCTCTTGTGTATCTTTTAAATTTAGTTATAGAAGTCCTCTACAGTTCTTTATATGTTGCAAATAATCTTCCCAATTAAGAGTGCTATTTCTAAGTTTGTCAATGGTATCTTTTGTCATGTAGGACTAGAATGGTTACATGTACTGTAAACTTCACATATTTCTTATTTCACACGAAGGATAATGTAAAATGTCTTTTCCATTACACACTCAATGACACATTTAATGACTAGTTTCACTTTTTGATTTTGGTGTATAATTTCCATTGTTAATTTTGTGAACTACTAACAAGACTGAGCAACTCTGCAAAAGCTTTTTTTTTTTTTTTTGGTAGAACCAGGGATTAAACTCAGACCCTTGCACTTTCCAGGGAAGAGCTTATTCTACTGAGCCATCTCCCCCGCCCTTTTTCAGTTTCTTTCTTTCTTTTTTTTTTTTTTCTTTTATGATTTGTTGAAAAGGCCTAGTAATCTGCCTAATCTATCACTGTGTTTCATGTTCCTGATCTATTTCTGAATTAATTCTTTTTTAAAAAACCTTTTATTTATTTGATTCAGGGTCTTGCAACCACAGCTATAGTGATCCTCCTGTCTCAGCCTCCCCAGTGCTGGGATTACAGGCATGCGCCACTATCCCCAGACACAGTGGCAGACTTAGTGGCTGCCTCAGCGCACCCAAGGGGTGGGCCGGCGGGCTTGCGTGGTGGGGGACCAAACCTCAGTCCCTGCACTTGCCTAAGCAGGTACTTAGTCTGCTGAGCTATCTCACAGCCCCTTAGTGTCTTAAGTATAACCACAACCACCTAATTTGTAAGTAGCCAACAACACTAAAGCAAGACCTTCCACCAGCAAAAAGACCACATTTATTCAAAGTTCAGATGACTGTTACCATTTTTTACCAATAAAGTAGTTCTAAATGAAGGTATATACATTTTTAAGACATGCTACTATCACACTTTTATTAGACTACAAGTACACTGTAAACATACATTATATGCAATAGAAAACCAAAAACTCATGTCACTGGAAATTGCATAATGCTAAAATAATTTGGTTATGTATTTTGCTTTTTTTTGTGGCATTTGACCTGTTATACTGACCTGGAACTGAGCCCACAGTATCTCCAAAGTATGTTTTCATTTAACAGTAAGCTCAACAAGAACAAAATGTTGTCTGAAAAGCTTTCCTTGAAAGTGCTACTTCAAAGGATACAATAAAAATGAAATAATTATAGAGTACACACTATATTAAAGAAAATACAGTGAAATTCGGTGATCTACTGGGAATGAAGGAGACAATCTAACACATCACAAAATGAAGCTGATATAAATCTCCTTATTTATAACTGTACTATTCTAATATCTGGTATTCTAAGATTTACAAAACCCTTACCCATTCTGGTAGTGTAATTTTACTGCTTACCTATTTTTCATCAACCGTATTTCTCTCTTCAGTTGGGGGTCATCTGTCTTGGTTGTCTGAGATGATAGAGTCACTGGAGACGTCATCATTACAGTCGGTTGCAGCGAAGTAGCTGAAGGTGTGGTACGGATCTGATATGTCTGCATATCTCCTGATGCAGCTATATGGTCAGAAAGGTGAATTAATTGCTAAATGCCTTTGAAAGTACTCTGTGAAACTTTGCATAGACAGTTAAACATACTTACTTTGTACAACCACCTGGTTGCTGGGCACAAGTATTTGCTGTCCATCAGAGGTCTGTGCATACTGGAGAATCGTACCTTGCTGAGTACTGCCGGAATTGGTCCTGGTTAATGTCTGAAGTCCCTGTACACCATCTGTTCCTGGACTGGCCAAATGTAAAGCTCCATTTGGGGCAATGGCAACTTTAACCAAAAAGAGAAAATAGTATTATAAGGCTACATAATACACTAAATTCTGAATGGTAAAAAAACAATGTATTCAAATAGATATGAATATGCAACTCTGCTTAGTAACTGTGGACCACTTTGTGTGACAAGTCAAAATAAGTAAAATAGGGGGCCAGGGAGATGGCTCAGTGGAATAAGCGCTTCCCTGGCAAGTGCAAGGGCCTGAGTTCAATCCCCAGTTCCGCAAAAAAAAAAAAAAAAGTAAAATAGTATGTCTTTATAAAATTCAATAGTCAAGCTGTATTGCCTTAAATTCAGCCTCAAGTTGTATAACTGATTAGTAAAAACAGCACATTTTGGAATCCATGGGGGCACTCCATGCTAAATGCACAGAAATTCTAAAGCATCAGAAGAGGGTCCCATGGCTAACCATTAAAGAAAGAAAAGAGAAGGAAACACAAGGTGCCGGCCAAATAGCTCAGCGGATTAAATGCAGGTGCAGGTTCCAGGGGTTCGACCCCCCAGGTCTGCCATGCCAGTCCCACCCTCGGGGTGGGGCGCACTGAAACAGCAATTGACACTGGGCGTGGTGGCACGCGCCTGTAATCCCAGCTTTTGGGAGGCTGTAAACAGGTGGATCACTGTAAATTCAATCTAGTAGTGAGACCCCGAACACTCTGTAGACCCTTCCCTAAAATACAAAAAAAAGGGAAACATAAACACTGTAATTTTTGCATAGTACTTAACTGATATTTAAGAAATGTAATCTGTTCATTTATTTCCTTGTGAAAATAAAAGCACCAGAAAGCCACCTATTAGATCACATTACTTAGCTCACCACAGGTAG